TTTATTCCAAAAAGACCACCAGAAAACTACTCTTCAAAAAGTGTGGGTTTTTTGGATTCATGGCCGTTCAAAACGACTCCGCATAACTGAAGTCGCTTCTGAAACCGCTCACAGTGAGAACAAGGCACATATACAGCGAATAGCAATTCTCTGTAAATTGTAGTGGGAACAGCCCCACATCATGCATTCTCTGGCTAATCTGCTTTCCCTCTCCCTTCTTTCTATCTAGGCAATAGCTTCTAAAAATCCCTAGGGGACAGTGAGCCACAATCTGAATGGCATGGGGCAGAAGAAAGAACCTTTTTTTTTTATTTCTTTGAAAATATTTACCAAAGCAGTAATCCTAATCCTAATCATTCCTCCTTTTCACAACCTGTTCACCTCAGCACTGGAGAGCAAAAAAGAGCTGCTCAGTTGCAGGATGTCTCTCCAAACACAGAGTATTTATAAGGTTCTACTTCATGCTCATTGTCAACTTTGTTGTTGTTGTGTGCCTTCAAGTCATTTCCTGCTTATGATGACCCTAAAGCGGGTTTTCATGGCATGTTTCTTTGGTGGTGGTGGTGGGGTACTATTTTCATCCTCTGAGGCTGAGAGAATGTGACTTGCCCAAGGTCTCCCAGTGGGTTTCATTGGCTAGTTTCTCCTTTTTTGGCAAAGAATCTACTTCCAAGAGCTGCAGATTCAGTGGGTTTACTCAACACAGGAGTAAAATACCATTGATGCCACTATTTTGAGCATATCCTGCTGTATTTATAGGGCTAGTTGAATGCCAAGCTTCTTTAACATTTTCAATCTCATTACTTGTCCATCAGTCTATGTCTGTAGCCCAGAGATAACTGAGAGGATATTTTGGTTAACTATTTGGGGTTGCAGACTGCCAGAAATAGTGCAAATTGAGTCTACTTTTAGGGTTAGGGTTAGTGCTAGGGAATCATGGGAATTGTTTTTTTCCCCCTGACACATTGAGCCTTCTCTGTCAGAGAGCTCTGGTGCCACAATAAAATACAGTTCCCATGATTCCCTAGCACTAACCCTAACCCTAAAAGTGGACTCAATTTGCACTATTTCTGGCGGTCTTCAACCCCCCCTATATTTTGATTCAAGAAAAAGGTTAAGTGTAGACTAGATTGTTGTTGGCAGGATGAATTTCCAGTTGGTTGGGAAACCTTACCCAGAGGACTCTTCAGAATTTCCCATCTGAGTTGCGTTAAGGGTCAAGTGGGATGTTGCAAGCCTATTTCCTGGATGGGATACTCTTCATCCCTTTACAGAAGAGAGGACAATTGATCTCTTGAAGTTTTAATCTGTGACTCCAACCATCTATAACTATTAATCATGCTAGTTAAAGGCCAAAACATTTGCAGGGTCCTAGGCTCTTCAACTCCTTGATTTAGGTGGGGGGGAAGAGGGAACCCTTTACAAATCTGCAGTTAACACACAACTGGGAGAACTGTAGGGATTCAAAATTAGCTCAACAGAATGAAAAAATGAATCAAAAGGTAATTTGGTAAAGAATGTAATATGGTATATTTATTCAACAAAAATTAAATCTATGGGTATAGGTTGGAGGATACCTTGCTTGGTGATTTTAAATGTGAAAAGGATCTGAGATACATAGTTAACTACAAACTGGACATGGAATGGTGTGATGTGGCTGTAAAAGGGGCACATACAATTTTAGATTTTAATTAATAAAGCCAAGGTTTCCAAGTCACGGGGACTAATTGTTCTAATGGCTACCAGACTAGTCAGTCTTCAAGTGGAATATTCAGATCCAGGGAATACATTTTAAGAAAAGAGATCAATTTGCTTAAGTTAAGGAGAGGGCAATAAATATGGCCAGGGATACTGGGAGAGGAAGAAGTCTAGTGAG